TCAGGATACTCACAATAACACCTTTATAAATGGTCATAGTTGCTGGGTACCTGAGTCCCCAAAATGCGCCCCCAATACGACTGAGTCCGTTAAGGGTTAGGGCTACTCTACTTTTCAAGTAGTCCAAGTGAGGTGTCACGTTGAACTTTCTTCCTATCCTAATCCCAAGATAGGTGACAACCTCACTTGTACGTATTCTTGATGCTTGTACAACCATTGTTATAGGGTGAGCCCTATCAGTCGTGCCTTTCAAGAGGATGGCCTGAGTCTTAGCGGCGGCCATCCTGAATTTCTTCTTCTCGCACCACTCTTCTACTAAGTTGGCGCACCTTTCAGCTTCTTCTTTCTGTCGGGTTCTGCTGTTCGAGGCTACCACAACGGCCAGATCATCCACATAAGCCGTAGCGGGGAACCGCTCCTCTTCTAGTACTCCCAACAACTCATTGAAGACTAAATTCCATAGGGCAGGACCTAGAACAGAACCCTGGGGACAACCTCTTTCCATGGAGTCTTCAACTTCGAAGAAGTTACCCCGGATTCTTAAAGTTCGGTCCTGAAGATAGCTCCGTAATAGCTCGTACAAGTTGCTGGGAGCTTCATACTTCTGCAACTGCTGGAGTACGCAAGGCCACCAAACACTATCGAAGGCGGAGGAGATATCAAACAGGAGGAGCATAACATACTTCTCCGCCTTCTCTTCGACGTCATTGCGCACTCTTAGCAGGGCATCCACGGTTCCCCTACCCTTAGTGGATCCGTACTGCCGTGGATGGCTCGCTCTTGAGAAGACTGGTCGTAGGCTCACCAGGAGTAGGTTCTCTAGCACTTTGCTCATAACAGGGAGGAGACATATAGGCCTATAAGACTTGGCTAATTGCTTGTCCTTGTCTCCTCCCTTGTAAAGGAGCCTTATGTCGGCAATTTTCCAATTTCGTGGAAAGTATCCCCTATCAAGGCAATCATTGAATAACTCCAACAACGTATCTTCGATATAGGGGATACTATTCTTTAGCATAGCCGCATCGATTGCGTCTAAACCAGGAGCACGACCAGTCCTTTGCCTGTCCACAGCAGCACGGAGATCCCATATGTCCCATGGTGGGCACAAGTCCGTACCAGGTGGACATACCGTAGTGCGCCTTATGAATTCCTCTTCTTCATTATCTTGGGACGGATCATCTCTGGGGTAGATTTCTGCTATAAACATCTTCGATGTCTCTTCCAGAGTGGTTGCATGGGTAGCTCCGCACTTGAGCGCAGCAATCACTTGTTGTGGTGTCAGCTTACCCAGAGCCACTCTGTAAGGAATACCCCAAGGATTCTTTGATGACTCCTCAACAATGAACTCGTCCCAAGACTTCCGCTTTTGTAAGCGCACCTCATTTCGATATGCCCTGGCTTTAGACTTGTACTCGTCACGAAGTGTAATGCGGCTCTCGTCACAAATACACCTCTGGTACGACCGCCGGGCCTTGTAGAGCTCTCTCTTCATCATAGTTAAGGCCGGCGTCCACCATGGGACAGGTCGAACTCTCGCCTTCCTATGCTGGAGGGATTCTTCAGCAGCATCACGGATGACAGTTGTGATCCTGGATACTCTGTAATCCAGATCATGAGTCTGATCCATGTCAGCCTCATCCCATTCCTCATCAACCAATTTTCCCTCCAGAGTCGACCGGAAGGCGCTCCAATCTTTTCTTCGGGTTATGTAACCCTTGTCTGTGCCGTGGGAACTAAATGAACTTTCCACCAGCCTAAAAGATATCGCCTGATGGTCGGAACTCGTCTCAGATCGAAGGGTCCAATCGATGATGCGGTTTGCCAGCACCGGTGATGCCAAAGTCACATCGATCCAGCTGTGGCCTCTTGCACTGGAGAACGTTGGAATAGCGGAGGAATCGTTTATGACTAGTAGCTGGCTCCTTGCTATAAATTCACCAAGCTGGACGCCTCTTCTATTGGTTCGATTGGACCCCCAGACCGTGTTCCAAGAGTTGGTATCTGAGCAGATGATCACGTTCCGAGTGCAAGCCGTGATCATCTCCACAGCGGTTATGTCCCTTTCTATGTCATTTCCATCAGGCATGTAAGATGAAACTAGCGTAAAGGAAATATTACGCCACTTGATATGACATGCGACACAATCCGCCGTGGTATACTGCCTCAGATCCATCACATCGAGGTTAGGATTATTAATCACAATAGCAGCCCTGGGCCTCCTCTCTCTACTGCCCAAAGCTATAATTCTCGATGTGAGGCCAAACCCCGTTACTAAGTTCCCACGGCAGGTCGGTTCTTGAACCGCCATAACATCGTAGCGCGGATAAAGAGCCCGGAGTTCGTCTGCCACTATATGCCGGCGCCCCATGTTGAGCTGGAGGATGGTAAGCTCACTCATAAAAGGTCCTCTTCGCTACCTCTTTAGCCCACTTCAGGTGCACAGGACACTCCCGACTTCCCGCCTTGTGCTTCCTTTGACTAGTAGGCGCATTTACCCGCTCGCAGTTGATGCACGATGGGCTAGCCAGTTCTTTTTTCTTAGGGCAATCTTTTATAACATGGCCAGTGGAAGCGCACCAAATGCAGACTACGGCATTTGATATGCAAGTGGCCTTAGTGTGACCATATCCCTGACATTTACTGCATCGAGGAGCGTCGAGGTAGTCTTTGATTGTAATACTCCACCATCCTCCATCTAAGCTTCCTATTTCCAACAGCAGGAATCGAACTGTAGGGTGCACTTCTATCACCCAATTCTTTGTAAAGCCATTTCTTGCCATTGAGGAAAAAAGTGGCCGGATATCATCAACGACCAGCGGACTGGGGACCGACTTCTCGGGTATTCTTTCCCATAAAAATCTCACCAACTCCGCTGAATCCCATGAGAGGGGGACGCCCTGAACCTCCAATCTAGGTTTCTTCCTCAAGGCAAGTTTGGCTTGAAGGCCACTGTCTCTTAGCCCTTGCCATCCAATCACCTTCGTGGCATCACTACTATTATCCATGCGGACCAACACGGAGCCAGTCTTGGTCGTACGGACAATGGAGGCCTTTATTCCAATTTCGCTTGGTGAAGGCAACCCATTGATTATATCTGCTGGTCTATTGCCAGTTCCGCTTATAGTGATATAAGTCGATCTCTCAGTTTGAGTTGGCTTTGTAGGCAAAGATTTCACAATATCCGCAATGGTTATTGGTTTCTCTTGCCGTCGTTGTTCTAGAGCTTTCGGTTCTATTGAGATCACTCTGTTTGACGAAGTAAGTGCTTTATTAGTAGCTTTAGTTTTTTTCCTCCTTCTCTTACTCTTGACGGTTTCGAATCTCTCTGTTAACTCCGGACAATGATCCATATCTTGATTAGCAAGTTGGTGCTGTTCTCCAGAGGGTCCTGCCTTAGGCTGTAAATGTTGAGGTGCTGAACTTGAAAGAGCCTCCAAAACCTTTGGCACAGAAGCCTCAACGATAACTTTGGTTAACATGTCATGCACCTTTTCCGATGACAATGTTTCATTTATTGCTCTTTGGACAAGGGTAAGTACACTGTCATAACTATCTTGAGTATCTTCGTCTTCTGAGGTCTCAATCATCTTAACAAGACATTGAATCTTGTTGCTAATATGGTCCCTAACACTACTTACGGGCTTGTTTTCATGTTTGACCATGTATAAACGGAGATTCTCCTGTATTCGCTTGGCTTCAAGAAATAGATTAGAGCCCTCTTCCAATTTCTTTTTAGCAACAGGGGAACCCTTCCTGGCCCTCTTTATCGTACGTTTTCGTTCTTTACGAGGTTCCACTCCTTCAACTATATTATCATTCAACATAGTAAATTAAAAGTGACGTAACCTTTAAATAAAAGAAAACTTACTTATCTTTCCTAAAGAGTCTTTCGGCTTCCTAGGGAAGCTTAAGGTAGTTTTAGCTACCAAGGGATCGAATAGTTTTACTTAACACACTTTAAAACTATTTTCTGGAAAAATGTTAAGTAGTAGATAAAAGGTTATAGTGAAATAAACTTGACGAGTCTTACACTGACACTTACCTTAAGGTACGACAATGTCTAACCCAATATTTCACTACTGAAGAACTTTACAAAACGTACTACAGAAATAACACTTAAAAGAAACACTTAACCTAACAGTCCAAAACTATATACACCAATAAAACGAAATTAACAGGAACAGTAACGACAAAATAACATAATTAATGAACAAACTAACAGAAACTTATTATGAAATAGAACAATTAACACAAAAAAAACACTATAAATAATTATAAAATACGTAATCAAAAGCTATAGGCAATTACACTATAGACCTCACATAACCTTCCTCACTAATCAACATGTGTGTATGTGGCTAAAGTGCTCTCGACCAATCTCCGCTGGCTTTAGTACCAGTGACGCGGTTGGGAGAGTAGCGCAGGGTTCTCCTGGAGTTCCCTCGCCTGATTGTATATAGGTATGCATGTGTTTTTTTTTTCTTAGTTTTAATTTTCTTATTTTTTAGGTTATTTTATTTTATTGTCTATTGTATATACTTTTGATTATTATTTTGTTCTATTTATTTTATTTTTTTTGTACATATGGTGTGAATGTCATCCTACCTCACTATAACCAATGTCCAACAGACAGATTGTTATAATACTCAATAAAGAAATTTAAAAAAAAAAAAAAAAGAAATGCCTTATGGTAATGAAAAGAAAATAATATTATTTCCAATTGACAATTCTTTTTTCGAATTAAAGTGGTAGCATCAGTGGAATGAAACGATATTGAAACGTATGCATTAAAAATAAAAGTTTTATTTCTTTTTCTTTTTTAAATAAAATATAAACCATTTCTAACTACCATTTCATTGAATTCATCGACGACCGTCAATATCTCTGTTATTATTTAGTACTTCGAACGAATAAATCTATTAATTCAGCTCATGTTAATTAATAATAACATCATGAATCACATGTTAATTTTCACATCACGTCAATTGATTAGTTTAATCCTCAACTAGAAAAAAAAAATTCTGTCCCACTATATTACCGACTCGCCCAGCCGCTTGGAAACAAATAATGGGACATAAAACAATGATAGATCAGAGGAATCTGAGAAGCCGGGAGCCGCGAGAGGAGTGTTAAAGAAGGGTGACGACGATAACCGCTCTTTCCAAAAATGGAGTGTCCAAAAAAGGACGTGTTTTGGGCACGTATTTTGTGTTCTATCGAGGCAGGGGTCAGAGACACGGCGGAATGTGGCCGGACACCTGATAGTGATGTGCCGCCACAGATCTGGCTGCTGCAGATGTGCTCGAGATGTTGTCCTGAGGCACCGAGCGTGAAGGAAATAATGATAACTACGTGAAGAAAATGGCCCTGGATTTGGGGGTCTTAGCCGCTTCATGATCTTCATCGGGTCACTTGTGCCGCATCTCGCTAGCGGATCTTGGGGCGTAATTTCGTCTAGAGGAAAGTAAAAAAAAAACAAAAAAAAAACACTAGTTCAAAATAGAAAAAAAATTTATTATTGTTTTATTAACATAGCAACCTTAATGGAGAAACCTAACTAAACCCCGAATGAAAAATTTTAACAGTTATATGAAAAAGTATATTGGTTCTACCAATTATTTACATACAGTAACTAAAATTGTCTAGTATCAGTAACTATTTCGCCTTAATTTTTATTCACAAAAATACTTTTTTTTTCTTGATCTTAGTATTGCAACAATTAGGCAAAATGCAAGACCAAAACCAATTTTGGACAACACTGATGATTACGGGAACGAACATTTAGTATGATGTATAAAAGTCTCTTATTTTTCCTTGTTGAAAGGTTGAATATAATAAATTATATTTCCCTGTTACAAGTAAATTAAGACTAGTTTTCTCTATGATTTGTTTGTTGTTCGCATATTAAAACAAGAACAGTTATTATAAGACTTAATTTATCTCTTAATTTATTCAATATTAATACGGAAATCTTTGAGATCAAAGCGAATATTGATTAATGACTAAAAGAATTATGCATAATATGATCAAGCAAGATTCTATGATCTGAGCGCCACATCCCATCGTTGCATACTCCCAGTCCATAAAAAGAATTCACTAACCTTAAACTTTAACAGCACACATTCATCTCGAATAAATAAGTCCATGGATAACTCACTACCTTCTACTTCCAACTTAGCTAAGGAGAAAAAACAAGATGAAATGTGACAACATCAATTATAGACTAGATTTAATTAACATTTGAAAAGGACTCCAGCAAACAACCTGTTATTCAATAGCAATAAATTGCTTTAGCTAACTAATAGGGATATTTGAACTTTTTTTTTTAGTTAATCATTTAAAAATACATAAAATTACACAAATGCCAGTTTTATGACCGGATATTTATCTTAAAACGGACGAATTTATTCTATACAAGTTTCTTTATCCAGACTATAAAATAAAATATCCAGGATATATTGTTAATAACCGTATTTATTATGTTTGCCATGATCAGGGAAATGGTTTAAAGGTATAATTAGAACTAGTTGAAAACATTGCCTTGGGTCGAAACGTTGGTAAACTTAATAAATACAATTATTGATTGTTTATCCTACTTATTTTTCATCCTTAAAATTTCAACAGACAAGAATAAATCCATCTCCAAATCAATCAAAATTTTAGTTGTATTAAAAAAAAAACAAAAAAAAAAACGAAACAAAGGTGGTTAATCATTTAAATTTTATGAGAAAAGGTAGCTCTGAAACACGGCGGTGAGAAGATGACACTAAATAACACCCTAGAAATTGATGAATAATTTCAGTGGAAAATCCTTTAAAATGATAGGACAGGTCCAGCGATTGAAAGAGAAGGACCAATAAAGAAACGCTAACAGAACCTGGTCAATCAATATTTTATAATATGAAGGCAAGGAGGGTTAAATGGGCGAGATATGTAGGCCGGAACAATCTATCTCGAAGCCTCTACACAACAATGAATGCTTCATAGTTGCATAGAGGTTACATGGTTGGTTAAGGTGCCCATCCCCCGCCCTCACTCCCTGGCCAGGGAAAACCCCGTATTGCATAAAAGGCAAAGAAGGAAAGGACACCAAAACAAAATCTAAAACTTTTGTAAAGCCAACGGAAATACAAATACCTGAATTATAATTGTTGTAATTTAATTGGTTTCATTCTGCTTTGTTGTTCAATGATTACATTTCTGATTTCGGGCCTTTAACTCTATTAAAGATGTTCATAGATATCATGATATTTTCTCGGTGATTGTAATCGGCCAAGGAAAACAAAATTATTTAGTTAAAACTTCATTCATGTTTAATTTAAAAAAATTAAACAACACTCAAAGCATTATTAATTCCTATTAAACGCCTTAAAATGTAACACAGTTACAGAAAAAGGCATTAAAAGCACCAAAGTGTAACAAATCAAAATTATTTGTAAATTGGAGATATGGAAAACAAATCATTCATGTTTGAAAGCAATGTGATTAAAAATTACAAAAAGGTGTATCTTTGCCAAACATGGTCTGAATTCGTTAATTTTTTCACACGATTTTATTTTATATCTCTAAGTCTAATATGTTTACGGAGGTCCGATTCTTATCGTTTTGTGTAGTTCGTAGAGATTTAAATCCTTTCTGATTTTCACGTGGGTAGGTGGAGTCATGTTGAAGTTATCACACTTTTTGTGATTTAAAAATAATATGATTTTTTTTTTTTAATTTTCCGGCCTTCTAAAAGACTAGATATATTACCAATGAGAGTTATAATGTTGAACTTAATTTTTATAATACAATGAAAGTAATTGGGAAATCTATAGTTTTATTCCGACCGTGATAAATCGATTGAACTGTTATCCGCCAGAATATCTCTTACAAGAAACTCGCTGAGAACTAGGCTCCCGACATTTGTAGACCGCGGATGCCACTAAAGGTTGATTTAGAAGACAGAGAACATTCCTCCCTCTAATGGAACTCCCAGCTATTTCGACGAAAAATATTGCTGGGATTAAACTTTAATTGCAGAACAGGGCAGAACCGATAATTACCATAAAGGCTGCGCTGGGACCCCGACACCTTCCTCAACTAGATATTTGAACCATTGCGGCAACATTCTTGGCAGCCATTAGCCAAGCAACATCTAGTCAAAAGGTCATAAATGAGGTCTCCTTCCTTAGAAGTAAGGGAGGCTCATTTTTCCTAGCCGATATATTCGTGATACTTAATATGTATATAATTAATATTACATTTGTTTATCCACATTTATCTTAAGTGAAGAGTTGGCAGGAATAAAATAAATTTCAAAATTTTATTTGTATCATTATTTCTTTATACTCAGCTTCTTTGCTCGTGCATATTTCTTATGCGTATACAACTAATATGGAGTATACATTGTGTGTTTGTGTACGTGGGTGCGTGCATGTTATAAAGTGAAATATTTATTGACGGAAACACACACTGCGCAAGAAATGACAGAATAAAGAATTGATAGACACCTTTTTTTTTCTTTTTTTTATTTATTTCGATATATATATCTGTCTCGTAGACAATAATTTTAGCGATAAATGAACTCATTCACATCATATATACAGAAAATATAAAATTAACAAAAGTAAAATATTAATAAAAAAAGCTATTCTTCTCCCTACAACTATATAAGGAAAAGCAGGACCCTGCGCTACTCCCTCAATAACGTCACTGGTGCTAAAGCCAGCGGAGATTGATTGAGAGCACTGATCGACAATTTAATAAAATAAAAGTCCTTTATGAAAACACATAAGAGGAAGATTTTATTTAATAAATATTACATGCTCTATGCCTACTATAATTAGACAGATTAAATGGGCTATATGCATTTTACAATACATAGATGCACTTTATATAGATATACTTTTTAATAATCAATTTACCAATACTTGGATCTTTATTTTTCTGTCATTCCCTTCTTTGCCTCTTAATCTTTACAGGGTTTTCCCGAGTCTAGGAATGAGGGCGGGGGTGGTTAGAGAGTTTAATGTGAGACTGAAATGCCTCCTTCCTCCTCCAGCACTGAAATGCGAACTCTAAATATTTTAACAAATTATATCTTAAATTATTTCAGGTTGCCCGGTAATGCGGTGCTCTGCAAACGCGTTAGTCTGGTTCGTCATTTCGCCTCCCAACTTAGATCAGTATATGTTCTTTAATCATTTCAGAAATATTGGAATAAATTAATTAGAAAAAGCAGAATATAGAAGTATGCCATAGACTGAAACCCTCCCCCCTCCCTCCCCCTCTATCACCTCCGATTTTGTATTACACGAACCGAAGAGTAGTGGCCTATTGCTGATGCTAAGGGCTTAAATTCCATTACGTACAGATTGGATCGGCGATCTAGCCATTAACGCTAGCTAGCCACGGCCTATCCGATCTCGATTCAATTTCGAGTTAGAAAACGCTCTTGACTAGAGATTAATAATAAACCGTTAGAGTGTGAAAAGGTTCCTAAGCGTTCTTTCTCTCATTACCATTACAGCATTAATGGGTACCAACTGAAATTTGTACCCACTATATGATAATAGCCAATATTAGTGTTATAGAGATAATTCTTAATGCTTTGTTATAAAAACATGTCATAGATGAATACTATTCTATATACTATTAGTCCTTGGTACAGACACCTAAAATTTCATAAATAGTTTCATCTCATCCTAACCTACTAATATTTTATTTACGAAAACTCTTAGAATTGTGGCGTTTTCAATCTGGAGGGGGGCAAACTTTGTCTATTCAATGAGATACTAAAAACTCGTAAATACACATTTGTTTTCCACTTGTATCGTAAGATAATTTGATCACAAAATCAAGAAAAAAGGTGGCCTTCAAAAATATTGAGCCGTTTGGTGTGACCTATATTTGTTCCTAAATGAAGTGTACAAAAAAAACAAAACAAAAAAAATACATTGCATAAATGAAAAGCAACTTTTATTCTGGAGCATGTCGTCTTTTTATAATAATATGGATTGTGTGGATGAGATGTATCTACATCTGCCTATATTACAATATATATTTTGTCACTTAGTATTTCATTATTGTTAATGATCGCAAAGTATTCGTTTATGGTGGAATGAATATTATTTACATTGATGGTGTGAAATGAATATATATATATATATATATATATATATATATATGTATGTATATATTATTTACTTGTTGACTTTATTTTTGTATGTCTATGTTTTATATTACCATTTTTAATTTTTTTATTTATGCTTATCTGGATAGTTAATTATTCAACCGATCATTAAAAAATAATATACATAAACATATATAATAATGACATAACAATACTTTACTAATAAAGATAAGTAAATAAGCCCAAAGGTTTTGAAAGACATAATGTGGTGAGTAGTTGAAAAAACATACCAAAAAAAGATTCCTTTAAACATTGTCATACTAATGCCGCAAGTTCATCATAATTTTATTTTTTATGTATAACTGTAATTGGAACATTCTAACTACAAATTACAGGAAATAAATATAAATGTATACATATATATGTATTGTTACTTTTTCCTTGTATTGCCAGAAGGCATTTTAAGGTAGGAAGCTGGTAGGTATCTATGCATCTGTAAATGTTGTGGCACGAGAGCTTGTTACTACCATTGTGCGGGGAGGGACGGAATTCCAACCACACTGTCTTCTGTCTTTAAAATGCACGTAAAGAAAAAAATAACCCGTCAACGTCTAGCAAATTTTGGTATCATCAGGACAGAAAAGATATAATATCACATCACTCCATTACATCCAATCGTACACTGTAAGAAAGTAGAGGTAACACAGATGCAGAAGATTATAATCAAACAGCTGATTAGAAACAAGAACAGATAAAACTGCGTAATCGCCTACCAAAGCATATAAATATACAACTAATAAGAAGAAAAGAAATAACAATAAAAAAAATCTGGTGTGTTCCCTCACACGACTTTCCTACCTATGTCAGAAAAGTTTTTATATCTTTACATATGTTCATGAAGAAACCAAAAAAAAAAATTAACTAGATTTAGTACTCGCTTCGGCGGTAC